ACATTGTTAGACGCGGGTGCTGATGCAAGCCGCTCACCTCGCTTGCCTCACCGGAGAACGGACGCTCTCAGCGGAGGCCGCGGCGCCGGGCTACAATGTAAAGAGTGATCATAAATCAACTCCCCATTCGGCTGCTTCCTTCCAACTTTCTCCTTCCAACCGCAGCCTTCAATTCCGTACGACACGTTGCACCTGTTTGCATGCTGCAGGGTGTTCTCCCACTTCTTCTCTTCTTGCCCTGGAGGAGGTTGCTGTGGGGGGATGAAATCACATGAAAGTGGGGGTTGAACAGCAGCACCCGGGGAACGCAGAGAACAAGAAGTTGGCACTGCCCATCTTGATGTCTTGGGGAAGCGTGTCAGTGATAGAAGCAAAATGTGATTTTGTCCTGACTGCTGTGTGTGTGTGTGTGCGGGGGGATTTCTTTTTAAGCGCAAACTTCCAGCAGGTGGTTGAAAGTGTGGAGGAGGAGATTAAGGTTTGCAGGGAACGGCCCGGCTTCCGGGGGAATAGGACGCCATCGAAGGAGGGCGTTGAGATGAGCGCTAAAAGGCTTAATGGAGGCCATCTAATCCTAAATTGCAGTCATTCTGGTGTGACACCATTAGTGACAGTCTGCCTGGACGGTTTTTTTTTTTTTTAATTTTTGCTCCATTCACATCTATTTTGCTACCGCGTGCTTGAACTCACGTTGGGCTCTCAGAGAAAGAAGTCAACGGTAACTCTCCGTCACTCACGATAGCGACTCTGCCGAGTTGAGCGTCCGCGGAGATGACAGTATCGTTTTCATTTGCAGTCTTTCAACAACACCCATCACTCCCCCACCCCATTTCCCTTTAGTCTGCATGGTTGCCACCGAAGTCTTTTAACACCGTCCTTGAGAAAGCCCTCAGTGAGGGAACTAGTGGCGTGTCTGAGGAAAAGGTAGGAATGCGATGTGTGCGCGCATGTGGGAGTGTGTGTGTGTCAGACAAAGCTGGGACACGCAGTGATGATGGTGGAGGGGGTAGGAGCTGTTCCCCAGAGGGGTTATTTTCCCCTCTAATAGCTGTTACGAGCCCTACATTATATCCAAGGAGCTGCGTTCCTTTGGGGTCCGCGCGCATGCACACACATGCGCGCCGAGGTGCACGCGCAAATGTTCTGTCGGTTTCCCTCCCTCCACACATGCGCACATACACGTGGAGCCTGAGCCGCTTTGCTCTCTCCGTGTCAATATCCTGCCATTTGAAGTCACGTACTGCAGGGGCTTCTGGGAGCAGTCGGGGAGTCAGGCTGACGGGTAATGGGCCGCATTCATTAAGAAGGTTGCCGCGCTCCTGTCCCTCCGCGGCAACACCAAGGATGTCTTCACCGGAGGGGAGGGGGAAAAGGGAAGGCGGAAGGGGCGGGGGGGCTTGTGGGAGCGTCCCAAGGGGAGTTTCCTCCCAGACTCACTTAAAGGAGCTTTATTTCTGCAAGAAAGCAAGCCGAGAAGTCAGTCCGGAGTCGTCTTTTTAAGAAAAAT